TCTAGGCATTCCAGTATCCAGCTGTGGGGCATTGAGTCATAGGCCTTCCTCTAATCAGTCCAGGCAGTGCACAGGTTGGTCAGCCTGGTCTTGCAGACTTGGCTGACTGCTCGGTCTACCAGCAGCTGGTGTTTCGCTCCTCTGGTAATTCCTTTGTCATGAGGAGTGTGCATTGAGCCACATGCCTGTTCATCTTAGCCGCTATGATGCCTGACAGGAGCTTCCATGTGGTGCTGAGACACACAGTGTGGTGTCAAACTAGTATAACTGTAGTGTATTTTTGTGAGCTAGTTACAGTAAAAGGCAGCGTAGTCACTTTGTATTCACACATGATTAATATCTACATGAACAACATGATGACCCTGCACTTACTCCAGAGCTCGGGTCGTTAAAGGCCAACAAAACAAAGTAACTGGAGCTGAAGTCTTCTGGGGAAATGTGAACTTCTTTGTGGCAATATTTAAATTTCAGACTGTGCTTGCAAGTGAATTTTTAATCTTTTGTTAAAATGTTGCATACCCTCTCTGAAAGCCACAGTCACAGTTTGAGGTGAAGTCTTTTCCCGTGCAGGATCGTCCCAAAAGTGCAGTGGATCAAATAGGATTTGGGGAGAGAGAGGTGGGCAGAACAAGGATGAGTGTAGAGGAGCAACTGGATCGACTAAGAAGAAATCAGGAGGCCTTGTTGCTCCGTGAGAAAAAGAAAGAAACCCCAACCCGCTCACCGTCCTTCAGCAAAGACAATCCATTTCTTATTCTGCAGGTGTGTCTCTCACACACACGCTTCAGTTCAGATGTGACCTCTGCGGTTTGAAATCTGTCACTTAACTCAGGGGTTCATGTTCCCCCTTGTGCAGAGTCGTATCCCAGCAGGAGCCGGTGCAGACCCTTTGGAGCTGGAGGCTGCACTGCAGCAGCTGAAGGTGGAGCACAAGGAGCAGAGCAGAGCTTCTGTTGACGCTGCAGGAAACTGCACAGAAAGAACGCTGACTGTTGCAAAGGTTTGAATTTATTCACATTATTTTTGCAATGTACTCACAATTACAGGTGCAAAGGATCGAGGGAATGACAATAGATGAGTTCAGATACCTGTGGACAACCAACCAAAGCAATGCACAAGATAAAGGCTGGGACGGTGGAGTAAGTAGACCAGTGTATTAGGGGGGATTTGTGCCAGAAGGAAAACAGTGAAAGGGAAGATGACAAGACGAGCGAAGGTGGAGCAAGAGGTCTGAGTGTTAGGAAACGAATACGTCGACTCAGGCTGTGCAGTTTGGAGACGAGGTTGGAGAGGCAAAGATATTTAAGGTGGAGCTGCCAGGCAGAATGAAAAGAGGAGGACCACAGAGAAAATTCATGGATGTAGTAAACAAGGGAATGCAGAGGGCTGATATAAACAGAAGAGGATGCAAGGATTAGAGTGAGGGAGGCAGATGTGACCACACGGAGAAGTCACAGCCAAAGTCAGTAACTCTGCACCACTACTGGGCTGGAGTGAGACTACTATTGATAACATTTTCATCCAAGACTTAGAAGCTTCACGCAAAAACAGCGACATATGACCTTCATGAGATGCAAATGTAGACTGCATATTCAGTTTTCTACATCTTTCTAAGTCTTGTTCTTTGTGGTCTTGTTTCCATTGTGAAAGAGACTGAGTGTTTTTATACACAACACTTGCTGCACTCTGTACACACAGCACCAGAATCATTTTTATTTCTATCTGCAGGAGATGCCCACAGCAGAGGAGGTGAAAAATGGCAAATGTGAGGAAGTAAAGCAAGACGGGAACACGGGCCTGAAGAGTGTGGAAGAGCCACAGGTTACGATGGGCAGATTAGATCATGAGGTACTGTTTTATTTCTCCGGACAGCTGTGTGTAGCAGATAGCAGTGTAAAGATAGTCAATACTGTTTATTAGTATGACCAAACTTGTTTAGTGGTGATAGGAAGGATGTCAGATACTTAAGATCGAGAACTAGAAGGAAACGGCTTTAACTGGGAAACGTGGAAAGTGGGATTTCCATAGAAGCAGGTGGCTGTAATCACACAGCAGCAGAACTGGTGATTCTCCCAAAGGGACTCAGGAAGAGACGAGCCAGTTTCTTAGACGAGCTGCACCAGGAGCAACTGAGTAGACGATCTTAGTGCTCGAGCAGGAATGTACGAACTAAGGAGCTCGATCAGGTAGCTCAGGGCTGTGTTGTTGATCATTTTAAAAGTAAGCAGCAGTATTTTAAATTGGATGTGGAATTTAATGGGTAGCCAGTGCAGGTAATAGAGGCAAACCTCCCAGTTCCCGTCATTTTGAACAGTTTGCAGTCTATGAAGAAGGGCCGAGTGAAGACTGAAATAAAGGGAGTTGCAGTAATCCAGCCTACAGGTCACAAAGGCGTGAACAAGCTTTTCCAGGTCCTTATGCGGAACATAATGCTTAGTCTTAGAAATGAGACGCAGTTGGTAGAAACTAGATCTAACTACAGCGGACACTTTGCAGCAACACACCCAAACTGCTAACAGTGTCAGAGAGGGAGCTGGCAAGGGAACCAAAGGCATCACAAAACTGTCCACGAGGAATATTACTATCAAACACAATGATTTTAGTTTTCTTATCATTTAAGATGAGAGAGTTTCCTAAGAGCCACTCTTTGAAAGCAGTGCAGAGACCGGGCAGGATCAGTAGATCTGTATATCGTCAGCGTAACAGTGATAAGCGATATTGTATTTCTCAAAGATTAGAGAGTAGAATAGGGCCCAGCACAGATCCTTGAGGCACGCCACAGCAGACGGGTGCAGCGGAGGAAGAGCAGGTGCCCAGGTCGACCGAGAACGACCTGTTGGAGAGGTATGATTTAAACCAACCACGGGCGACACCTCTAATGCCTACAGTATGCTCAAGCCTCTCTAACAAGATGCTGTGATCCACCATGTCAAAAGCCGAGGATAAATGCAATAGAGCTCGGACCGCAGCACGTCCAGTATCAGCAATTAGAAGAAGAACATTAAGGACTCTAAGCTGTGTCAGTGCTGTGACCAATGGCGTGTCCAGCGGGGTGGCCTGGGGGGGCACAGGTTTGATGTGGTTTAAAGGCAGACTGGAATTTATCAATAATGTCGTTCACATCCAAATACGCCTGGACTTGTGAAAGAACTATCCTCTCGACAACTTTAGAGATCGGCCTGTGATTCACATAATTATTACTATCAAGGTTTCTGTTGCTGGACTACGGCATGTTTCAAAGCTGACGGGACGCAGCCAGAGACTGAAGAAGGATTCATTAAACATAAAATACTGGGTCCAATTACATCGAAGCAGTCCTTGACTATGCGAGACGGGAGGATATCATATATAGGAGTAGTGTTATTCAGTTGTTCAGCTAATCGCTTCAGAGTAAGGAGTGACACGGGCTCAAACTGATGGAGGGTTGATGAACAACCAGGAGCAGAAACAGGAAGCGAGGAAGAGAAGAAACTTTATCTAAGAAGTGATTTAAAAGTTGTTCACAAAGATCCGGCGAGCACGGCAGCGGCATATCAGGACGGGGATTGACCACCGAATTAAAATTTTAAATAGCTTTCAGGGGTTGTGACCATGAGCCAGGATCATTTTTGATAAGAAAGCCGCTTTCGCCATTTTAGCAGCAGTTTGAAATTTCGAGCGGCTGACACATAGGATTTCACAGGATACCTGGAGTTTATCTTTTCTCCACCTCCTCTCATCATGGCGGCAAACACGTCGTAAGGCGCGTGTGGAGGCGTTTAACCAGCGTTGGGAAAAGGCTGTAGGGCGCTTCATTTTAACAGGTGCAACAGTGTCAAGGATGGAGGAGCATATGGATAACAAGGTGTTTGCAAAGTCTTCAACCATATGAGAGGCAGAACAATCAAAAGAAGTGGACGCAGAATTCAGGAAAGACAGAGAGAAATTTGCCACAGTTTCAGCATCAACTACACGTAAAGCAGGAACTCAGGGTGCAGTATTATCTAAGTCAACATGACTGTGGAGTGGTCGGAGATCCCCACATTGTTTACATCCTTGATGCAAATGTCCAAGCCTTAGCGTGGGAAGGTTCATTTACCCACTGAACGAGGTTAAAAGAGTCAGTTAATGCAAGAAAGTCTTCAGCTGACGGGTCGTCCTTACAGCAGACGTGCATATTAAAATCCAGTAATAAGAACACAGCCATGTTTAAAAAGAACAGATCCTACAAGGTCGGCAAATTCAGAGATAAGTCTTATTGTATTTAGGCGGGCGATAGACCGCGACACACAGAGTAGCCTAACAGTCAGTCATCTCCAGCAGCTGAGCCTCAAAGCTGGGGTAGGGAGGGGAGGGGAGCTGCTGGAGGTTATTTTTAAAAACCGAAGCTAAGCCACCACCTCGGCCAGTAAGTCTAAAAAAGGCACAGTCTGGGGGGAGAAGCTCGGAGAAGGGGATGGACTCACCGGGGCGAATCCAGGTCTCCGTCAGGAATAAAACGCCCAGTCCAGTAGCGAGGAAAAAGTCATTTAAAAGAAAGGTCTTGTTCGCCAGTCACCTGACATTTAGTAAAGCCATCCGTGTCCAGGCAGCTAGGTCACCACTGGTAGCACGTCGCAGAGCGCTTAGGTTGCTGTGATGGACGCCACGTCTGGAGGACGTAATCCAGGGTCGAACAGGAAGGCATGCCACTGGAAGGGCTGGGTAGGCTTGTAATCAGCGGGGCAGATCCACCGATGGCTCAGCAGTTTAGCATCAAAGCGGTCTCCGGAGGAGGGGAGGAAGCGTAGACGGCCAGCATATGGATAATCCGTAGCCTCTGCTTTAAGGTAAGCCTTGAGGCGGACGCGGAGACCCCTCCTTTTACCCCGTTTCCTGTAACGTTTCTTGTGCAGGTTGGGAAGGGGTAACCAGGAAATACTGGTGGAGGAGTCTAGCCGTAACAGGGTGGCGTCACCCAGGTTCCAGCATGGATCGAGCGATGCCAGTAAGAGAATCGGAGATTTAAAAGCGTTTGTCTGTCGTAGGTTATTATTGCACAACCACACGATGAGCATAAAACCAAAAAAATAAGGAGTACTATGCCAAGGTCCAGTAAAAGGGGAAGGAAAGGTAGAAAGCAGAAGCACAGGCGAGGACGGCCAGCCACACACACCGGCGCCATCTCAAGAAATGATGATGTCAATATCACCCTGCGCGCCACCTTTTCCATCTGCTGCCCTCAGGGAGAAGGTACAGGTCTATACAGGCCAGAACATCCAGACTGGCCAACAGCCTGTATCCACAG